TTTATTATTTCACTGGAAAATATTAACTATGTAGAAGTGCTGGATGTGTGGATCAGTGTTATCCCGAGTTTGCCAGCTCCCTACAGTGGAGCACACACGAGCACTGCCCTTGGTTTGCTATCGGCAGAGGAAGGGGAAGCCACTGGCTGTGTGCAGTACTGAGGTCGCCAGGGCCGGAGGGTGTCTGGGGACAGTGAGGCCCGCGAGTGCAGAGCACCAGACTTTGAAAGGGGGCAGCATGGTCTGGGCGGGGACCCTGCTCATGGCCCTGTGTTCACAGCACACCAGCGCCGGTGCCGAGGGTTCTGGGCAGGCTCTGGCCTCGCCCGGGTCCTGCCTGGAGGAATTCAGGAGCGCACCCTTCATCGAGTGCCACGGTCGGGGCACCTGCAATTACTACGCCAACGCGTACAGCTTCTGGCTGGCCACGGTCGAGAGGAGCGAGATGTTCAAGTGAGTGGCACTCTCTGTTGGCCACTGTCACACAGGTGGCTGCTGTGTCTGAAAGGGGACTCCTGAGTCTGTTCCTGGATGGGACCGAGAAGACTTTGAAAACCCACCATGGGTGATGGGCCCCATGCTGTCTTCCCTTCCCCAAAGAACCAGGAAAGAAAAGAGCTCAGTTTCCATATTGTGGGCGGGTTCCTAAGATGTGACAAGGCCACCCAACTTCCCACGGAAGCAACTTTCCATGCTCTCTGCTTCTCCCTGCCGAGTGGCAGCGGACTAATGACCTGGGCGGCTGTGGCCCTGACTGTCCCCTGCATTCGGCAGGAGTGCAGTGAGGCCGCCTCAGGTTTGTGCACGGAGCACACTCCCAAATCAGGACAGCCATGCCCACAGGCACGGCCTGCTTCTCTCCTGGCTGGCGTGTGGCTTGTGGACACGCGACATCTACTCTGCAGGTGGTGGTCTTGGCTCCAGAGGGGCTTACGATGTGGCCTCAGCCATGCCAGCTTGCCTATGGGCCCAGTAGGGAGAAAATGGGATTATTATCATTATTTTTTGAACCAGCAGCCTGGTACAAAGAAATAAAGCACCCTTTCCAACAAAATGAGGTAAAATCCCATCCATCCACGGAAACTCTGTGGGGCCGCTAGAGTTTGCAGTGGAGAGCTGCTGCGTAAGCGCCGCCGCGGCTTGGGGGAGGCACGCGTACTGGCTCGTGTACCGTGAGCAGAACGAGGCAGGAACAAGCTTAGTATGGACGGTGCCTTTCCAGCTACCCGTGAGGACGATGCCTAGGAGCAGGAGAAATTGGGCACTCCAGTCTTTCTGCTCTTTGGCCCCAGGTCAGGGGTGTGCATACCTGTCCTCCCGAGGGTCTGTTGCACAGCACAGCACAGCACAGCACAGCACCCCGCAGTGCTTGCCGGTGCAGAAGGCCACACCTCCTCCTTGCCTGGGGACTCCCTAGTCTAGCTGAGCACACAGAAGTTGACCTCCCCCTGGGGGCAGGGCCGCCAGGCTGGTGGTGCAGGCCGGTGGGGCTGCGCGATGGCCCCAGGTGGGGGCGGGGCTGGGGGTCAGGGCCGATGCCAGCGCTGAGTCCCTTGTCCTTGCAGGAAGCCCACGCCGTCCACCCTGAAGGCCGGAGAGCTTCGCACCCATGTCAGCCGCTGCCAAGTGTGCATGCGAAGAACATAGCGAGGCCGCCCCAGTTGCCGTCACAACATGGTGCTACTCCTCCTCCGCCGCCGCCGCCTCCTCCTTTATTTCTAACAGCAACGAACCCTAGAAATATACCCTGTGTACCTCACTGTCCACTATGGAACCGTAAAGTGCCTTATAGGAATGTGCGTAACTAACACGCCCGCTTCACTGGCCCATGCTTGCTGAAGGAGAAGACGACAGCATAAGCTTTTCATAGTGGCATCAGATGGCACTTCTGATGAATAGAATACCAACCCCGCTCCGACCGAGCACTGCTGTGCGAAGCCGGAGCTCCAAGGTGCTAGGGGCACGGCGCCACCGCCTGCCCGCCTGCCCGTGCTCAGCCTCGTACTGTCACAGAGGAGTTTTCCGCCCCGATCTGATTGTCTGATTGTCTCCAGGGCATGTCTAGTGTTTCCAAATCCTGGTCTCTCGGTCTGTGCGAATCATGGAGTTGTAAAAGCAAACCTCCAAGCGCCAGGCCGGGCTCCTAAACCATCTGTCCTCCCAGCTCCCAAACAGACCTGTGTCTCTCCGCTCTGTGTGGTACTATGCAGCTCCTTTGGCAGAAGCCCCGACTCTCCTGTGGAATAAAGATGGTCCAAACGTAGTGAGAAATTAAATATATATATATTTTAGTAATTTATATAGATGTCAGCAATTAGGCAGGTTGAATCCTAGTGTAACTTCCACTGTTGAAATAAAGCTTACCTAGTTCTCTTCTTGCAAAGACTGTGCTGTCCTTTAACACAGATTTTTAAACACTCCGATACCAAATGTGAAACATCCGCTGTCCTCGTTCACTTCCAAACCAAAAATAATGTGTAGCCCGAAGCAAACCTGGGCTGGTGCGCTGGAGTCCCTGTCCAGTGCCACGTGCACTTTGAGCTGAGAGCTTTGACTCCATTTAATACTTTCAGGGTTTTAAACACTAATCACAAACTGAATGACTTGACCTCCAAAGCACCCACAGTCAGGCCTTCCCTGGGGTAGCGCCCGCGCTCGCGGCCTCGTGGAAGAGCACTGGAAACCAGAGTCGTCACTTGCGCTCACGCACGTGCGGGCCGCTTCCGAAGCGGGGAGCCACGGGCACAGGAGTGCAGATTTGGGCCACTGTGCTTGAAATGACATTTCACCAAAGTCTCCGAAACGTTTTCAAGACTACTAAGGCCTTTCCTGTAATTTCTTTACATGTGTATTTCTTAAAAATTCAAATTTGTAATAAAACTATTTGTATAAAAATTAAGTTTTATGAATTTGTTGCTAGCATTGCCACAAAAGTCTTTTAAAAGCTACCACACTACTAATAAATGTGTAAGCCTTGCACACCCTTAGGTCATTTTTATTTTGCACTCTTGTAGCTGAGAGTCACTGATGGGAGGGCGGGGTAGCCCCCAGGGACAGCTGCACGCCCAGCTGCCAGTTGCTGATGACACCTTCCACCTGGCATTTGTCACCACACCACGCACATGGAGGACTCGGCATGCCCAGACACAACGGACAGGAGGTGACATGGGTCTGGGCTGTAGCCAGCAGGGACACAGGGAGACTCTGAGGCTCCTCGGGGCAGCGGAAGTGGGGGGATGAGTGCACCTCAGTGTCCAGAGCAGCCCCCCAGGAGGCTGTAGGAGCCTCACCCGGAAGAGCAGCAGCAGGGGTAAGTAGAATTGCACGAGTATGCCCCAGGGCCAGATGACACAGGGTCACATGAACATGGGCCACAGGGCCTCTATGACACAGGATGCCATGAACAGATGTCTGAGGAGGACAAGGTCACGTAGGAACATGTGTCAGACCAGGATGAGGTACAGTGACGCATGAGGGCACAAAGCAAGGGTGAGACAGGATCACATGAACACACGATAGAGGACGAGGCAGGACACAGCAGACGCCTGACAGGATGACACAGTCACACACGGGTGACACAGGTAACATGCGACAATACCTCAGTGCCATGGTGAAGCAGAACCTGATACAGAACCAGGGTGAGATGGGATCCCAAGCGGGCATGCCACACAGAGTCAGGATGACACAGTGTCACTAGGGACCCAACGCAGCCAGCACTGATGCAGAATGTTTCGTGCAACACAACGTGAAGCAGGTGGATGTGAACCTTCAGCACGTGGGTGGCGAAGCCAGGTCCCGGCTGAGCAGCACAGGATGAGCCAGGTCAGGCCACGCAGACACAACAGAGCCAGGAGGAAGCAGCATCCCACATCCAGGCGTGACAGTGAAGAAAGGACAGACTCGGGAACACAGCCCGGTAGGGATGGACAAAAGCACACATGTGAGGTCACACGCTGGCTGGTGTGCAGAGGTGACAGCAGGAGGCGGAGGGGGTCACAGGTGCACACAGTCTGCCTGGGTCAGGGCACGCATCCCCATGTGGCGGAGGCTCCTTGGTGCCCTTGGTGGGCGCTGGTCAGCTGCCCTCCCTGCGCTAGGCTCCTACGGATGTGGCTATCCCTGTGCAGCGATGTCCGGTGCATTCTGCTTCTGTGTGTCCGATTTTTCATAAATTATTCTATGCATAATTGGACATAAAGGAAAGAATAAGGGGGTCACGTGAAGCCCAGCACGCAGAGCCTGTACATTTTCTCCATTCCTGTGGAAGTTCTGTGCATTTAAAATTAACATACAGTAAAAGTGACTTATTTGGTTGCAAAGTTCTACGAACTGTGGAACTGTGCCGTGCCTATAGATGATAGTACCACAAGCCAGAGGTGCTCAGAGCAGCCGCCAGCAACCCCCTGGGGGTGACGGCTCCACATTGTCTTCAGCAAGCCCACACGCTGAGGAAAGACACTTCTGGGAGGAAGGGTTGGGCTTGGCTCATGGCTTCCGAGGCTTTAGGCCTGTGTTTGGCCAAGGCATTGCATCTGTGTCCCGGGCTGGGCAGGCATCGCAGCGGAAGTGTGTGGTGGAGGAAGGAGGCTCACCCTGTGGCTGTCAGGAAGCCGAGGAGCTCCAGGGGGGCAGGATTCCAACCAGGTGTTGTCCCAGGGTCACGCCTTGGAGACCTGCTCTCCCCAGCAAGGCCACAGCCCTGTTGTCATCACCTTTGTGTGACAGGCACTTTACTTCCCTCCCTGCCACCCATGGGGTCTCTTGGGGGTACGCTGTAGTATATCTGAGCCACCACAGGCTTTTCCTGTGTGGTGACATCTGAGAATCCTAACTGGGCAGGTGTCCCTTAAGCTTTTCTGCTTGTGAGTATCCAGTTTTTCCAGGGTAACTCAATAAAGCCTGTCTTTCCCCATGGAATAATCTTGGACAACTTCATCAGAAATCAGTTGGGTGTACATGTGTGGGATCTATGATCTGTTGAATTTTTAAAATATGTGTGGTGCTTAGAACAAGCTTCACCACTTTGTAGGAGTGTATTGAGGGCGAGCTTGCCCGGGTCCTTGCCGAGCCTGGGAGGCTGGTTGCTGTAGCCTCATGGGACGGTGAGTGGAATCCTAGGGAGTTAATTCCAATCTCCTGCCAGCAGCGTTGGCAGTGTCGTGAGGTAAGAAAGAAGGCACTGGGTGTGTTTGGAGTTGGGGGGTCCCGGGGGCCCTGAGTCCAGCTAGGGCAATGGCTGCCTGGCGAAGGCCAGGACTCATGACGAGCCTGGGGTGTCAAGAGGGGAGTGGCTCGGGGATGAGCACCTCGCTGCGGCAGGCGGGAGGCCTGAAGGCACCTGTGCATCGTGCAGGGATAGGTGCATAGAGGGAGCAGCCTGTACGCGCCATTCAAGGCAGCGTCTCCCGTCCTGGAGTGGGCGCTTCAGTGCTGATGTGCGGTGCTTTTACACCCTGAGCTGTCATAGTCTCTGTCTTGAGGGCCAGGCCCAGCTGACAGCGTGGAGCCCAGCTCTCCTTCCTGCCCGGCTCACACATGCTTCTGGGAGTGACAGGGAGGAGCATCGCTGCCTGGTGACCTTGCTTCAGACTACACCATGGCTGGACTGATCGGCACTGCTTAGAGCCAGCTGGGAGATCAGAAAAAGTCCTAGCCAACTCTGTGCACGTGAGTGTGTGGAAACAGGGTCCGGCTCAGCTGCAAGGCGGACTCCTGCTCCTCATGCAGGGGCTTGTCCAGGTGTCCTCCACAGAGGGTGGGAGCATGTGCCACACACAGCAAGGGGTGGCAGGGCGGGACAGGAAGCCGGGGAGATTCAGGGTCAGGCTCGTCCTTGTCCTAACAACCCATTCTTGCTGGAACGAGATCTGAATCCAGCATCAATCCCTGCTGAGGGCGAGGCCCGGGGGTCTTGTCACCTCCCTGCAGGACCTGTGTCTTCGACACTCCACCACTTCCCAGCATTGCCGCATTGGGGACCAAGCATCCAACAGCAGGTGAACTCTTGGGGGACAAGCCACATCCCAGCCTTCAATCCTGCTGCCACAGCAACCTTCTCTGGTCCCCTAGTGGCTGCTCTATGCTTTTAGTAGGAGAAAAGGGCTGGGGTGCACCTGCTCTGCTCCACTGGGGAAGACAGCAACCACCACAGCAGCTTAGAACCATCGAGCGGACTCGTTTCATTTCGTTTTGCTTTGCTTCTTCTTCGCTAGGAAGCCCCACACCACTGAGCTATGTGTCCAGTAGAAAAGGACCTAGTGTGACGATTCTAATCAGGACAGTGCAGATGCACAGAGAGGAACAAGTAGTTGAACTTTGCTCCTTTTAAGCTTGCTTACTCTCTTTCTGAAGCCTGGGTGCTTTGGAAGCCCCTGGTTGGTTCACCAGCACACGAGGGCTCGTCTGTCCTCACAGCCACCTGGCAGCTCTTCTGTGTGCCGCTGTGCTGTGGGACACCATCCCGTGGAGGGCACACAGACTGGCTCGTGATCTCGCCAAACACCATCAGTTCACACATCTCAACCCTCGAGCTGAGCCGCTCAGCCCATCCAGATCCAGATCTCTCTGGTCCCAGGACCGCTGGCTGCACTCAGGAATGGGACAGACAGGGTTCAGATGCAGGTTTTTATGAGCCTGACTGCTGTCAGCAGCACTGTTCATCTTAGTTTTGACCACATCTCATTAAGACCACGACAAAAGAGAGCTCCAGAACTGCTTCAGACGGTGGCCAGAAGGATGGGATAGGTACTCCACGTGAGGGGCCTGTGAGGGGGGATTCATGGCAATGTGTCTTTGACTATCATCCATGTAAAAACCTTTAAGCTATAACCATGTATTTTGATCATACTGCAGTTATGCAACGGTGGGTTTTGGCAGTTGGGTTATAAATGACATCACCGCTGATCCTTTCTTCTAATGCCCCCTTGAAGATGAGTGGGAGATGGAAGAAGGACTACGCACAAGGAAGGGTGCACAGGGCCCCTCTGCACCCAGGACCCCCAAAGCCCACCTGCACTGGGCCCTGCACAGCCCTCCCTAGGCAGGGTTTGTAGCCATGGACTATTTTCTGTGCCTTTATGTATCCGCACTGACACGTCTGTCTATAGTATCGTGAGCAGGGTTCTGGGCCCAAACGCATTCGCCTTGTACAACAAACATTCCCCAGACTTAATTTCTGTAATGCAAGAAGGTGTGTGGTTTTTGTGCGGCCTCCCTGTAATGTGAAAAGTGCTCAAAGGGTCCAGCAGAGTAAAGAGGTAAGGTTTGGGGGTTTTGTTACAAACATATTTTTCATAGCTCATATATCTATTTATATATGGCTTTGAATATTGCACCCAGAGTCCTTGCACTGAGCTGTACTTTGTCTTATTTCATTTTGAGACAGGGAGGGTCTAAGGTGCCCGATGGAGCTTGCTGAAAACTCCCTGCCTCAGCCCTCCACGGTCCTGGGATCACAAGCGTGCACCACCACGCCTGACCATAATTTATATCTTCAATCTCCTTAATTCCATCTTATCCAAATATCTCTGTATCCAGATGTAAGAGATGTATCCAAAATGTTTGCAGAAGTATTTTTTCAGTGATTCTTCAGACAGAGGATTCACATCTAGAATAAAGAACTTAAAAAATTAGTTTAAGTGGGCAGCGCTCCAAAAATAAAAGACGCAATCAAAAACTGGGGAAGCAAAGTGGATGGACAGAAGAGCAGATGGCCAATAAATCCACGAAGAAATGCTCACCATTACTGGCTACTAAAGAAATGCAAATTAAAACAACACTGAGATTCTGTCTGACTGCAGAAATATTGGTTATCATCAAGAAGTCAAATAATAAAAGATGCTGGAGAGGCTGTGGGGCTAAAGAACCCTCCTACACTGCTGGCAACAATCTGAACTGCTATGTTGACAATGGAAATCAGTGTGGAGATTCTCAAGAAATTAAAACTAGAAATTCCATTTGACCCACTTTCCCCGTTGGGTCCATTCTCAACAGAGCTGTGGACCTCACAGGACAGTGGCCCACGTACACCCATGCTCCTAGCAGCTCAGCTCGAGGCAGCCGAGTCCAGGAGCAGCCTCTGTCCATCAGCAGATGGGTGGATAAAGGGTGTGCTGTTTACACACACTGGAGAACCGCTCTGCCACCAAAATTAACTTGAGACACTCTTAAGTAAACGACCTTGAGACCACAATGTTGAGTGAAATAAATCGGACACACAAGCTTAATATCATGTGGTTTCTTCTATGAGAAACTCAAATTATAAATGAAGAGCAAAGTAAGAAATCACCTTCTTCCCACAAAGAATGGAACAACAAGCACCGCAAGCGGGACTGATAAGGAGGAGTGCCCAGGTGCGGCTCCAGGCTGGTCTTTCTCTTCTGATCGCTTGGCTATGCTGCCCTTCCCAGGGCTCGTCTCCAAGTCGGTGTGGTGGAGGAAGGTGACACAGGATGGAGGTCAGAAGCTGTCCAAAGTGCATGCAGCCTGCCCTATGGCCGCCGCATGACTTCTGATCTGATCCCTCAGAGACAAAGCGATCACACTCGTCCCCCTACGGGTGTGGGGGAGGCAGGATGAGGAGATGGGGCGCGGGCGGGGGGTACCAGAATCTCTCACAGCCTAGTCAGCAGCTCCTAGAGAGCTTTACTGTTTGAGCCCCTTGCTCTGGACCCTTCTCACTTGCGCTTTCTGCGTCTGCCCATGGCAAGATTCTGCTCTAAGCTCACCACGAGTGCAGGACTCCTGCAGTGGGCCCGTCACCAGATCACCTGCGTTCTTGGGTGTGGACATACTACACAGGCGTAGACACACTCCACGGGTGTGACTTGCACAGGTGCCGGGCGGTGGCCCGAGGGCGGCTGGCCCAGCACCATCCCCGCCACTCTGCAGGCCGGTTCTCCCTGGCCCTGGGGCTGGCTCCGCGGCAGCGCCCCGGGATCCCCGTCCTGGCGCCCACAGAAAGCCGTGGAGGTTCGCCCTGGGTTCCGTGGGTGCCCCGCCAGGCCTGGTTTCCTGGGTAGCCCGCGCGCAGTCGCTGTCCCCAGGCGATCCCCGGGCTCCTCGCGCGCCACGCGCAGGTCCACGCAGCCGGAGCTCCGCGTCACCTCGGCAGCCTCGCGTGGCCGCGCTTCCGGAGCCGCCTCCGCCCGCACCTCCACCGCTGCTCGCCCGGAATAGCGGCGGGCACGGACCGAACGCCGGGCGCGGGCGGCGCTGACTCACCGAGGACCCTCGCCCGCGCCCCGGAAGCGCCTGGTTCTGCGCGTGGAGCCGCTTCCGTGATCCCGCGCCCACGCCCGCGGAGGTGTCTTTTCCCTCGCGGTTCTGACTCGGTCCCGAGAAGCTGACGAGAACTTCAGACCCGGGCACCCGCTGGTTGGAAACCGGAAGTCCCTAAGACGAGCTGCAGGGGGCGCCCCGTCCTCTGCGTGCCGAGTCCTGGGGTCCGCGCCGTGCCGCAGCGGAGGGTGGCGGGCGCCCTTGAGAGCTCTGCGTGGAGTGGGGTGTGGGTCCCCCGCCTGCCGCTCTGACGGCCCCAGGCGGGCGCTCAGGTCGGGCCGCCCGGTTTCACAACCTCTCTGGGTGATGCCCGCGGCTGGCGACCACGTTCGGAGCTGCGTGGAGGTGCCGCTGAAAGGGAGCTGCCCAAAGCTCGGAAAGCCCGGCTCCCCACCCGTCCCCCTGCCGGGGCCCAGCCCTCCTCTGTGCGCGGCTCCCGAGAGGTGCAGGGTGGAGGAGGAGGCAGCGCGGGGTGGCAGCGCGGGGGCAGGGCCAGGGAGCTGGCCTGGAAGCCAGGAGATGTGGGGAGCTGGGACAGGCCCTTGCTGGCTCCCCGCGAACCTTCAGGTGTCCGCAGGTCTCGGACAAGGTCTGAGAAGGTTTCTAAGCCCACCTCCTTGCAGAAATAAGTTGCGGAATTAAAGTGGGCTTCACTCTTGCCCAGTACAGGATAATTCTCAGGACAAGATGCTAAGAGGCACAAAAGGGTTGAGTAGGTAGAAATGTGAAGCGTGGGCTTAACTGGAGAGTGGGGTTGAGGGGGTGAGGGAGCGAGGGAGGGAGTGACAGGGCCAGGGACAGAGACAGACGCACTGCAGTGCACAGGGCTTGGGGTCTCTTCAAGTGGGCAGTGGTTCTGCTGTCTTCAGGTCGCCTACCTGGCTGGTGGCTGTGTCCAGAGCAAACCGCTGAGCTGGGCTTGGGGCTGAGCTCCGCTGCACACCATACAGTCCTCCTGCAGGTGTCAAGGCTGGACAGCCCCGGCCGGAGTCCAGGGTACAGGCCACTGGGTCTGTGAGACCTTAGGAACTGGGAGTCATTTCCTGGCAGGGAAAGGGCTTCAGCTATTGTGCCCTGAGGCTGCAGTGCCCTTAGGAGTGTAGATTTTCCTGGTCTGGCGGCCTACCTGGTTATGGGTGTTCAGACCTAAGACCAGGACCAGGAAGGGCACGGGGCTCTGGTGGCTGTTTGAGAATCCAGGTACGTAATTCCACTCCCGGTGCACAGCGCAGCCCTCCCTGAGGGTTTATATTCTGTTACACAGTAGGGCAGTGCAGGTGAAAGCGAGGTCGGGGCTTGGAGCTCCTCTGACCTCTCCCTGTGCCGAAAGCTACAGTGCTTGCTCTGTGTGTGTGTGCAGTTCCTCATTAGGTCAGGGGTTTGCCAACGGCCAGAACAATTCTGAAATTCCGATCATCCCTCCTGGCCTTTCTACCTATCTTGATTGGAGCCCCAGCTACTATTACAGGACAGGAGGCTGCTCTGAGCCCAGCCTGTACTGACTGGCAAAACCCAGTGTCCCATGGAGGGCACCCCAGGCTGCCTGAGTCACCAAGGCCAGCAGCCACACACAGGTCTGCACTCCACTGACCTGGACTGCGTTCCGAAGGGCTAGACAATGATTTCCTCCATTTGGCCTGAGCTCTCCCACCTCTGAAGCCGTGTGGGGGTGAGGACAGGTCAGTTGACCTGTGTCATGTGCCGAGCAGAGTGGGCTTGGGTCCCTGAGTGTGGGTCACAGAGTAATCGCCAGGGTCTTTCACTTGGCCCAGCTCCAGTGCTGGTGACAGCTGCTGGCTTCTGGGAGGATCCAAAGATCCCTGCAGCTGTGCTGTTGCCTGTGAGCCGGTTATAAATACATGGCAACCATGTCCCCATGCTGTATGTGACCCGGATGGCTCCCGTGACACAATGTTCCAGGGAAGCCAACCCTCATCACTAGAAAACCACTTCCTAAATAGGCCGGTGCAGGGCACTGGTGTCCAGCAGGGCCTGCCATCTGTCATGCTGGGTCAGGTGGCACTGAGGCTAGCGTGACTCATCCCAGGCCAGCAGGGGCCATGCTGACCATTGCAGGCCCAGGCCCTGACTAGCAGTGCAGGTCCTCCCAGCGTGTGGTTTCTGACGTCAGAGTCACGGTCTCATGACAGCACTCAGACTTGCGTGGTGTTTCCTGCTCTTGGCGGCTGTAGGTGAGCGGTGCAGAGGGCAGTTGGGACATCACGTTTTTTCACCTTCCCAGTCTGTTTCTCAGGAGCACAGCAAAGAGAAAGGCAAACACAGAAGGCTGGTTTGTGCCCAAGTCGTTCACGACAGATCCCCGTGTCTCTGCACCCACCCTTCCCAGATGGCATTGTTCTGTTGGACCCAGTTGCACAGGAAATGGTGCTTCTTACTTAACAAAAGTGGAAAATTAAGAACCCCATCTTGAAACTATGTTGAAACTCATTTTTGAAACAGGGCCATCTTTACAGATCTTTTGAATGACAAGTGGCAGATCTGGTGTACCCTGGGCAAGGCTCGTGCCTCACCCTGGACGGACAGGGCCCCGGTGGACCAGAGCGGAGGTCTAGCTCTGGAGCCTGAGTCTTCCTCTCTCTTCCCCACTCTGTGCCAATCCTATGACCTTCGCACCGAGTGACCTTCACACGGTCCAGCCAAGTGTGAGAACAGACGCCCGCAGCTGGCTTTGGCTGAGCACGCAGCCGCCCAGCCGTGACTCAGCAGCAGTGGTGCCTGCTTGCTACCTCAAAGATGTCGGTGCTGCGTGAGGCTGAAGTTTGATTACACAGTCTGGATAGAGAGATAGGGTCATGTGATCCTCAGGCTTCCACCATCATGCTGATAATTGTGTTCAACTTTCTAGATGTAGAAACAAAGCTTTTTCCCACTATTTAAGATTCACTTCCTGCCTGGCTTTCCCTCCAATGCCCTCTCTCCTTTACTTACATACTATTGAGCCAGTTCCTTGAGAAACACAAGGCAGGAGACACAGGGCAGTGTCCTGGGAGGTGGACGATGCGCCATTCCCTGGTGCATGCTGGGAATATTTCTTACATCAGTCTGGCCAGGGTTTTCATCAAAGGTGAGTGAGTGTGCATGTGCATGTCCCTCACATCCCCATCACCAGTGTTTCCCTAAAAGGTCCCTGCTGTGTGCTGTGAAACAGCAGGCAGAGGAGCCCCCGTGTCTGTCCCTACCTCCTGCGTGTCTGCTTTGTGTTGTGGCGGCGCAGCAGCCGGAAGCTTGGGCATCTGTAAGTGGGTGCTGCAAAGGGTCCTTATTAGCAGTAAGCATTCTGCCCCCTCTGGGGAGCTGGGCTGCCTGCTCCTGCAGGGCAGACCTCCTTCCCAGGCCACCCCAACAATCCAGGGAAGAACACGGCTCGCGTGGCCCCAGGTGGCTGCAAGGGCAGAGTCTCCTCCGTAGCTGCTCTTCAGTGAGGTCCTACTCCCAATTTTCTCTTTCATGTCCTCTGACGGGAACAATCTCAAAAACAAGCAGTTGGAACAGGCATCAAAATCCACTGTGAAGGGGCCTTGAGCCTCGCCATGCTGGAAAGGCAGCCGGGCAGAGGTGAGGAGACCTCCAGTGCTGGACACTGAAAGCCACAGGTGGACGGTGGTTGTAACAGGAAGGGGTCTCTGCTCTCCGGCCCAATGGTGTCCTCTGCCTGTGGGACCCATCGAGGCAGGAGTGGGGTTCTCTATTTGCTTTTTCCTGGGGCCATTGGGAGAAACCTGAAGGGCTGCCTCTTCCATGTCCCTTTCTACAGAGGTGTCCCCTGCCCTGGCCCCAAGGGTCCTGTGGTCACCAAGGAACTTGGCTATGGTGTTCTGTGGGCCTCTCCTCAGAGCTCCACATCCCAGAGTGGGCAGGGCACAGTGTGTGAGGCTTCCTGCAGCCCCACTCCCGGCCCTCATATCGTCTCCAAAGGGCTGGGAGTTTCCCGGTGACCAGCAATGGTAACGTGACAGCCTGGGGTTTGGGATCTTCTCAGGATGTTGGTGGGGCACAGGGCCAGAGTGCCTGGGTAGTCATGGAGCTGACCGTGTTGTCCACGTCTGCTGCTCCTCTCTGGGGCTGTCCTCAGCTTCGCTTCCTGGCTGCCGTAAGGAGAGCAGCTTCGCGCCTCCACACTCTTTCCCTGTGATGCTCCTGCCTTGGAGCTAGCCGACTGTGAGCCACATTAAACCTCCTTCCTCCAAGTTGCGGGTGATAGGTGTTGTCTCGGCAATAGGAAAGCTGACTGATACACCTGGAACTTGTCCCTGCAGACCTCTGCAAGTCCCCACACCTGCCCTGTGTCCCTGCAGAGTAGCCAAAGTCTGTGCCCAGACTCCTGGTCCTGCTCTTGTAAGGCCAGGCAGTGGGAAGGAGAAGCAGGGGGACCAGGTCAGAGGGTCTTCCTGTCCCTCCTGTGGCTCTGGGGAAGCCACAGATCCTGCTATCAGGCCATCCTCTAGGGGCCACGGGCACCCCCCAACCCTAGGCCTGGGGCTTCTGGCCCTGGGCCTGGCACTGGACCCTGCTGCTTTTCCTAAACCCTGCCCTGGTAAGTGAGTCTTCACCACCACTGTGCATGCTGTGGTGCCCTAAGGGACATGCAGGTGAGACCCAAGTGTGGCATAAAGAAAAGGGGGTCAGAAAAAAAGCATCCATGATCTGTCCAGATACAGTGCACCCCAGTTCCATGCAGGAGCTGGAGGGGCTGCTCCTCTGACACTGTGTCTGCAAGGCCCTGGCTGTGGGAGTCCTGCGTATGTCTTGCCTTTGGTGAAGTGGAGTGACCCGTGTCTGTGACCCCCATTGCTTCTCCGAGCACCGTCTTAACCTGTGGCTTTCGCTGATGTGCATCTCTCCTGTCATAAGGCCAGGACCGGCAGACTGGGCATAGGTGGGCCAAGTCACCTTCCACCAGACGCTGTGTCTCAGTCCTTTTAACTGTCACTGGGGCAGAATAACCAACACCCGTGACTTAAAGCAGGAAGGATCGATCTTGGTTATGGACTGTGGAGGTTTCAGGCCATAGCCAGCCTGCTCTGAGGCATGGCAGCACGGTGGAGAGGCCTGGTGGAGGAGAGCTGCTCGAGGCTCGCTGGACAGGAAGCAGGAAGCACGGAGAAAGGGAGGAGCCGGGGTTGGGGAGAAGGGGAGGAGCCGGAAATGGGAGGAAGGGGAGGAGCTGGGGATGGGGAGAAGGGGAGGAGCCCGGGATGGGGAGAAGGGGAGGGGCTGGGGTTGGGGAGAGTCTTTCAGGCTGAGCCATGAGGGACCAGCTGCTGTCCTCCAACCCTCATGAATAGCATGTCAACCATACCTCCCCAAAATCCGGTAACCTTGCAGAAGTCCCCCGATCAATCACACAAAACTGTAGCAGACATCTAAATAGAAGCCATGATACCCTGTTGACATTCAAGTGGCAAGAGAGGAACACGCTGATACCTTAAGGGGTGCACCTGCGTGGATCCAACCAGAGCTGCATTCATGACAGCAGGGCCAGGCCTGCAGCAAAGCCCTTCTGCGGGAGCCATGAGTGGTGTACACGCCGTCAAGAGCCTGGGTTCTCGCAGGTGCCTCTCCCAGAGCCTCACACTGCCAGCTCCCTTATCGCATGTTTGGATGGAGAAGAGAGGGACATCAGGGGTCGATGGTGCTCGCTGTCTGGGGACATTGAAAGGAGGAGGCAGAGAGGATCAGAACTCCTGCCATGGGCTCCCAGGTAGCTGAGGGAGTGACGGCCGGATGCTGGTATATACCCTGCAGACTCTGATAGCTGGAAGAGCTGGAAGCTTCATCCCACCACGGAGGCGGGCTGTGGGGCAGGAAGAATCTGCGGAGACATGATGTCCCAGAAGACTCTGATGGGCCACAAGGTCGATGCAGCATCCCCCTCCTCTTCCCACAGTACCCTGCTGGGGGCACCGGCATGCACCCACCCACATCCACCGTCTAGACCCCAGATCCAGTGGCTGGTCCCATGTCTGCGCACACGTATGACAAAGCAGCATGCATCGGGTAGCTCAGGACAGCGGAATTCATTGTCTCACCATCCTGGCAGCTAAAACTCTGAGGACAAGACATCACCCAGCCCTCCCCTCTGAGACCAGAAGCATCCGCCTGGCTTCTTTGGTTTCTCATGATGGCAGCCATCCCTGCTGACCCCAGGCTGGGAGAAGTGCCGCTACAGTCTGTACCACTACCTTCACGTAGTCTTCTCCATGTGCGTCTCCACCAGACCTTTAAAGATGAGGACGGCAGCACTGCTGGAGCAGGGCTCCCAGCTCCACTGTGACCTGTCTCAACTAAGCACATCTGTAACAACCTTCTTTCTGGCCTAGTCATGATCTGAGGGGCTGGAGTGTCCATGTACCACAGTTCTGCCCATAACAACACACAGATGCCTCGTTTCAGCAAGTAGCCTCGGAGTTCTGCAGGGAGCCTCCGTCCTCCGGGTGCTTCTAACCACAGCTCAGGTCACCATAGTGACTTAATAATCTCAAAACTTTGGCCACTGGCATGGACATGCTTGTTTTCATTGTCAGGAAGGGCCACGTCCTGCTTGCAAATGACTGCCAGGTTATTTTTGACTGGACGGGCAACACACCCATTGCACACATCTCCTTGTAGCGCATCCCTTTTGGAGGCATGTTATTGTTAGAAAAACCCATTAGGTTTGGAAATGAGCTTGGAGCGAGCCCCACATGCGTCTGTGTTATAATTATACCGCTCTCTGCAATTGCTTTTCCAAACCAACCCTTCTGCTTGTCAGAGTCTGAAACCTTCCAAGTGACGGGTCCATTCATCTTCCAGAGCCTGAGAGGTGGCCCAGCAGTCGCCTTTTGTTCAAGGGAAAGCTGGCGAGCTGTGCTCACAGGGTGGCATGTCCACGGAGAGTGATATCAGTGGGCAGGGGGCATGGCCGGGCTCAGCTGTGGCCACACAGCCCCGCTCCATTCCCTTTGTTGGAAAGGATCATCCCTCCCATCTGCAGAAGAGAAATTACTCAGCCAAGGCTTTGCCTAAACTTCTCACTGATTGTGAATATGGATCTGCGATTTCTACATCGTGGACCTGACCCTCTGACAAATGGTCTGCGCTAGCAGCCCGTGCGGAGTGTCTGGGAAGTGGAATGCCATCCCCTGCCCTGGAGGGGTGAGGACGAACTCAGGGAACCCTGGGACTTTCCTCCTGGAAGCACCTGTGTGCGTTTCTCATTGGACGGTTGGGGGTGTCCGCCTTGGGAGCCTTCCTTCTGGAGGGCCCTTTCACTCGGCCTGCTGGAGCTGCTGCTCACATGTCACTGAAGGCTCCCTGTGACACACCTGGACCAGGAGGCCAGACTCTTGGACCAACCCAGACTCCTGCGCCCTGATGAAATGGAATTTAAGGGCTCGCTGACTGTAGCCAGAGCAAGTTCACGTTCAGCAGGCAGCCCATTTCCTCGCTCTCCCTGAGAGGGGATCATGGATTTGCCAACCTTTCCTCAGAGGGAAGGCCTGGGCTCCTTAGGACACTCAGTAGCACCCTCTGCCCGGTGGCCCCTGTGAGCCAGCACTGTGTCCCCTCCTCATTTAACGGTACAACACCAGGTAAGGTGGCTGGGTCTACTTTGTCACTATTATAGAGAAGGAAGTAGATGGTCCCGAGGGTGCTGAGTAGACCGCAGGGCTGACATTTGCCTGCCTGGCGCAGGGGAAGGACGCATCCCATCCTGTGGGCTACCTGGGTGGGCTGACCATGTACTAAGACTAACACTTCTGTCTGTGGAGCAAGCTTCTCCCCATTTGGTGGAGAGAGCTGTGAGTCCATGAGAGACAGCTTCCTGTGAGCCCAGGCGGAGCTCAGTGTGATGGCAGTGTCCACGTGCGCGTGCGAGCACAGCCATCACGGGAACCGAGGTCACAGCTGCTGTCTAAGGACTTCTTCTGGGAGAGGGATGTGGCCTAGAGAAGAAGGAAATGGGGATGGAGAGGAGGGGAAAGGAAGTAAGAGTTCGGATGTGTTGTGCACATGCAGCAGCTCCCCACAAGAAAAGTAGTCACTTGCTACTACAGATGTGTCCTAATAAAAATGGAAATTAAGAAAACCCTTTGGAATCCCCAGGAGTGGCTTTGCTGCCCTTGCCCCTTCTGCTTGTAGTGAGCAAATTCTCCAGTGCCCTGGAGGGGAAACTTCCTGGCTCCGCCATGGCTCCATGCTGGATGGCACATTCCACCCCTTGAAGGCCTGTGGAGCTTGCTGTGTTGTGGTCATCTGCCTCTGTGGTCCAGAGAGCTGGACTTGGGTGGCGAAGCAGGATGCACCCTTCCACATTCAGTTGCTTTCAAGATTGATCAGATACCTGTGGAGCAATCCCCGAGAACATGTAGAAGTGTCCCAGCCTCACACAAGAGCGCCTTGGGGTTTCCATTCTTGTTCTGCTCTGCAACAGAAATCGAACGCTCTGTGGAGAGGAGGATCGAGGTGGGAGCAGAGCCCAGGTGTGTCGGGAAACTGGGCTTCCTCTGTGAGAGACGAGGGAGAGCTGTCCATAAGCACAGGGCGTGTCCCTTCCACGTGCCCTGCCCTCCTCTCAGTGGCTGTGGGAGGAGCCAGGGGCTGGTAGCCCCATGGGCGTGACCTGCCTGGCCCTGAGCCTGGGCCATGGAGGCCTCTGCTGGCCACGTCTTGCCAGTCACGGCCACTCTGAGGCCACAGTTCTAAAAGTGCTGGCTGGTTTTCTATGGAGAGCTCCTAATTGTGATGACGTCCAAAGTGACCCCGCCTGCCCTGATCCCAGTGACCTCTGGTCTGGAAAAGTAGATCCTCTCATGAGCAAAGGAAAGGAAAGTGAAGGCAACAGAAGCAAAGATTTGTGCTTATTACTGTTATACCCTGTCAAAATTGACTCCATTTTGTTGCCCTTCTAACCTCACCGAGTTTCTGTTCTGTATGCGCCGACCCCTCCCAATTCCTCACGCCTGTGACCCAAGTCTTATGACATCTGTACCCCAAACCTTATCTTGTCCTGCAGAACTCTGCGTGATTTCAGCACCCCGCCCAATGGGCCCACTCGATGTACTCATGACTGCCAACTCAGCACCCCACCCAACAGGACCACCTAATGAACTAATGACCCTGCCACTACTTTCTCTCCACCCCTTCCCTGTTTTTGCGGTTTTCAGGCTTAAATACTGCACCTTGTTAATGCTCGGCGCGCCTCTTTGCACCTTGCATAGAGACCGCCGCTGGGTACTAGCTAAAATAAAGCACTTCTTTTAACTTTTGGACTTGCCGCATTGTCATCTGATTTTTGAGCTACAACAATTACTTACTATTTTGATGGTTTGTCTGCTTCACTGTTGTATTCCTGGGGGAACAGCCAGAGGTCCACTCCATGGCTGCACATATGCAGGCTGAGCGTGGGCTCTAGCTGCCCTTCTGGTGGCACAGATGCTCCGTCCCCTGCCCCCGAGTTGAGGGTGGCCTCAGGAGCAGCAGTGCCAGGGACTCTGAGGTGTTCACGGGCCCCGAGGCCTGCGCACCGAGGACCCCAAGCTCACATAGCAGGGCCAAGGAGAAGGCACACCTGCCACAGTGCCAATAACCATCCAGCTCAAGGGGTCAGTCCAAGCACTTAGAGGTGGGCCATAGGGCCAGGGAGAGTTGCGCAAATCAAGGCTGGGCCAGGGTGAGGCACCGGCGCGGGGCGCCCTCGGCTTCCTCAGGTCTGTGCACTCTGCTAGGAGTGGTTGCAGGGCAGATAGAAGCTGCATGGCCTGGGTGCTGCCGCCTTTGCACTCACAAATGCAGGTCCACCTGCTTGGCCCCTGCTGGTGCCACCTGGCCCTGTCTGGGGCTTGGGTGCTGCTCCTCAGTCTGACCCTGCCTGGGATTAGATATGTGGCAGCTGGACATGGGCCCCCTCCTCCTCTCCTGTCAGACACCCTCCTGACCTGCCCGCCATGGGGTGGGATTGGCTGTGCGGGCTGTGTGGACCACTGCACAGGGCAGCCCCGGAGAGCCCCTGTCCCTAGGACTCAGGCACACAGGTGTGTGTCCCTGCTGTTCTGGTTCAGTGACTTGGGTAGGAGAGAAGTGTGTCTCAGGAGCCTGCAGTCCTGGGGCTGAGCTAAGCCGGCCTGGTGGCCCAGCCTAAAGCAGCTGGGCCAGGCCTTCCAGGGCCAAAAGGAAAGGCTGTGGACCCCACCGTGATCTTGAACATTCCTTTGTTTTGCCGCGCAAGCTGATCAAGAGCCTCTTTTGGTACTGAGGGGCCCTGGGGAGCTCGGCCTAGAACAAGGCGGGCTGGTAGGCTGGAGAGGCACTCAGGGCCCTGGGCTGGGCCTGCGGGGATGGGGTCCATCTGCAGACATTTCATGCCCAGGGGGATGCACTCTGCAGCACAGGGCCGGGTGGTCCTTTCCTCCGGGAAACTGCCAGCTTCTGCAGTGGCAGCAGCAGCACCGCCCACCCCCTCGCCCAGAGGCTGCTCTTGAGTTCCTGTGAGACTTGCATCTGCACGATGCGCGTCCCTGTCTGTGAGGTGGCACAGTGGGCACCACAGAGCAGAGGTCACCCAGGCCCTGGGCCACCCCCTGCCCTTGCTCTCAGTGGCCCCCAGGGGATTGCCCCTTTGAAGTGGGGTTTTAAAAGTGAAAGAACAGCATGGTTTGGATGACTGGCCAGCAGGTGTCTAAAGCGTTGAGAAGATTGCCTGAGTCCTTGAAGAGGTGGTGATCACCGTCACTGCTGCCTGGCACCGCTGCTACTCAACACTCAGCGCGTGTCTCCAGGTACGGAGGGTGTGGAGCGACTGTCCAGCTTGGAGCTGGGCCCTTGTCTGCACTGGTGCTCCACAGCAACCAGGACTCAACAGAAAGTGTCCCCCGAGTGACGTCATGGGACCCCCAGTCCTCTGCAGGTGCACAGCAGTTCTCTGAGGGAGGTGGCGCCTCTGACTGCAAGCCTCATGAAGCTCCATGCAGGAGGTCAAGGTAGCCGATCCCGTTTCCCAGGAGCCTCAGGCCTGTGGGCCTCTGTCCACCCAGCTTCCTGGAGCTCTGTGTCCTCTTATGCTATCTGGAAGCGTTGCCTTACAATGCCACCACACTGGCTGTTTCTAAGCAAATGACACAGGTTTCCATGCTGGGAGGAAACCAGTTTGCACCTGTGCTCCGCATGTGACCGCCACATGAGATGCATGGGGGCGGGGAGGCTCCAGAGCTGCCTGTGTGAGCTGGGTTTGAGGTCCCTAAGTAGATGAAGTCGGGAAGGAGCCTGCATTCCCAGACCTGACCCCAGGAGGGCCTTGCGCCCCCTGAGGACACTGCAGCGCTGGAGCAACCTGGCCCAGAGAAAGGTCCTGCCCACACTGTGCCTCTGCAGACACCCGAGTTTCCTGCCGTCCACAGCCAGGCCTCAGGAGAAAATGGGAATCAGGGGGTGGTGGTGGGTATGGGGGCCAAGGGCAGCATGGGGCAGGGCCAGTTGGGGATCGCTTTGCAGCCTCAGTCATGTGCCGCTGCTGCTGCTGCTCACCCTGGAGCCTTGGGCGGAAGAGCGACCCGAAGGCTCTAGGCGGAGCGGCCAGCCTCCTCCTGCCCCTTGCACCAGGCCTGCTGCAGTGGGGCTGGGGGTTTGGCCCAGCTTTGGTCCCTAGGAAGCTTCGAGTGGGGGCCCAGGACACAGGGCCTGGGACTTCTCTCCTCCGTGCTCAGCACATTGGAAGGACCCCAGGATGTGCTGCTGTGTCCCTGGGCCATACCATCTTCTCGACCAGGTTCTGCAGTTTTTACAGAAGCCTTTCTGTTTCCGAAGACCAGGGTGCGGGCCACAGGACTAAAATCAGGTGGGTGGTCAGAGCCAGCTCCTGCCAGAGTCCTTGGTACCAGGCTGCGTGCACACAGCTGCCAGTTCTTAGGCCACGTGGCCCCTAGGAGTGCAGGCAGCTCCCGGGAGGCCCGCTGGGTTGGTGCTCCTCCACGGCAGGGCATGCCCAGGCTGCTGAGCGCTCCTGACTCAGCTTAACCTGCTGTGTGTAGAACTGGAACTTGATTCAGTCTACAGGTCTGGTGTTCTTTCCAACTTTTATAGGGAAAATTAGAATCTTTACTTTGCATTTGTGTGTGGGAAGGCGTCCTCCCTCATTTTTATGTTCTAAAAATTAGTGTCAGAGTTGAGTATAGTGTAACTTAATGGCTTGATCTTATTGACCTCGAGTTTCCAGTCCCCTGATTGTGTTCTGTCATGGGTTGTACTGTGTTCCTTGGAAAGATGGGTCCAGGTCCTACACCCAGTACCTATGAACGCAGCATGTGTAAAATGCAGCCTCTAGCCATGGTTAAGGCCGGGGCACAGTGTGGGCTCCAACCCCACAGGAACAAACACTGTGTCCACGTGGAGAGGAGGCTGAGACACACGAGAAGGCATCGGAAGATGCACAGAGACCAGAGTGGTGCTTCTCCAAGTCCAGGGACACCAGGATCGGCTGCCACATGAGGAGCTGGAGGAGGCCTGGAAGGGGCTTCAGGGCGGCTGCTGACATTGGGGTCTCAGGCTCCCAGCTTCTAGGTCATCAGGAGAAGGAATTTCTGCAGTTTCCAGGGCCCAGTGTGTGCGGGCTTCCCCTGCAGCCCTCGGAGGGCTCACATCCCAGCCGTGGGCTCTGCCTCCTCCACAGCAGAGAGCCGAGAGGTGGCACCGTGATACTGCGATGCCAGCACTGTGACTGCAGACGACCCAAACAGCCGGGCCCGCCTGCCGCCTGAGGCCTGTGCCGTGGCTGCTGTGGACGCCTCCTCTTTTGGGGAGCCTCAGAAGGCCAGGGGCTGCAGCCCACTGGGGGAGATTCAGAGGCGCTAGCTTGGCTTCTGTGAGTACACTGATACACATTTTCCAATGCGTCACACATTTCCAGGG